AAACTAGGGAATGTCATTAAATTATGCAAGTTAATTCTTTTTATGTTTGGAACATAGAACTACTTGATAACTCTATCTTCATCATTTTAGGTGTAGCCATGCTGATATGGTAGAGAGACTTGCTGATACATCTTGACATTTTAGTAACGTACTGTGAGGTGGATGCTGATGCTGTGGAAGATGACTGTGAGGCCTAATATGAAAATGAAAGTGCACGTATGCCTTGAAAAATCTACGGTAGTGTTTTATTGTGGAATTTGTCAGGAGCAGGAGAGTTCATGGGGTTTGTCATCAGTGAAGGCGAAGATATGCATGTATGCTGTGGTGTAGTCACGCAAAGTGGAAAATAAAGCATTAGATAACATTGTGTATATAAGGGCTGAATTGTAATGCCACTGTCCCCACCCCCTAAGAATGCTGCATCTGCAAAGCATTTGGCTGTAGGGCAGGTATAGATTGCCATCGCTTCTTTGAGTACCTTTGAATGGTAGTTGTGAAGGCTTAGGTCACAGGAAGGTGTGGGAGGAAGGGCTTTGCTGGGCTGTGACACCTGTGTGTGGAAACAAAAGGAGAATACAGGTTCTTGGGATCCCAAGTCCCCTATTGTGTCTTCAGTATTCCAGGAATATTGGGTAGTATGAGGCTTAAAGTTTCAAATACTCTGGAGGAATTGTTGAATCATTACTAGTTTTCAGAATATGTGGTATGCATTAAGTGTGTATGTTCTTCGCACTTCACTCTTGCAATGCTTTGTACCTGTTTCTGGCGTGTTGGCTCTTCCTTATATAAAAGGATCGAAAGGCCTCTGGGGGAAAGTAGACTGACAAACTGTGAACATCACATATAAGTTGTCTCATACAGTAACAAAGATAGACTGTTTTTAAAGGCTCATGGATTAGGCTGTGAAGGTATCTTCTAGTAGGGTAGCAGATAAAAATTGATAGGAAATATTGGAAGAACGTGGAAAAAATATGCTTGCACAGTTTGGATACTGAGTTGATACTTCCTTCAGTTTGCTCTCAAATTTTAATGATTTGTACAAATTGCTTTCAGAGTAAAAAAAAAATTGCTTCTGGATCTCTGAGATCAGTTTATGTCAAATTTTCATTTACTGTTTCTAGGAAGAACAGCAACATAAGTCTTACACTCAACATATAATTATGTAGTAAATAAATAATTGGTATAGATACTGTTATTCATCTGAGACAAAAGAGAGCAAAAGGAGAAACGGGGAAATTTATTTAATCTATCTTGTGGATGCATATAATATGTACATCCACTGAAGTAGTCATCCCAAACTCCTGTTACAGAAAACAAAAATGCGTGCTTTTAAGAAATGATTCATTTGATCTATTTAGCTATCTGCTTTCATTTGATCTATTTAGCTATCTGTTTTAGGGTGCAATTTGTTTTATCATAGACTCTTATCTGTGGTGACTGAGTCTCCATTTATCGTGAAGAGAGACGGGAATGGTTAGCCGTCTGTGGACGGATGAGTCCCAGTGAAGATTACTTCAGCTTTTATGTCTGTTAGCCTGATAATGCAGGGAAGCTTTTGCATTGATAGTATTATAACATTTTGTTGAAATGAGACCTTGAGTCTTCATTTTTCTAAAGTAGCTAATACACACATTAAGGTAAGATGAACTAGGCTGGTCTTGAGTATAATGTATAATATAATGAAACTTTTTGGACAGGATGAATTGCTTAAAGAAAAACTAGTGTCTCTGAAACATGCTGTCTTTCTAAACAGATCTATTAGAGATCTATTCATCCATTTTTTAGAGATAGTTGAATCACAGTACTGTTGTTAAACCTCTTAATAGGATGCATGTGATATTACAAAACGGCTTCTGCAGATCTCTGGTACAGAGGCTGTTTGCAGTGTTTTGTGGGATAGGATATATAAGCTTCTGTTAAAGGAAGGATCTGTTCTGAATCTACTTACTAGTAAATGTCTACATTGCATAAAATGAATATCGGGGCATAGCTGAATTCTGCTATAGTTAGGGAAGACTGCATTTGAAAACAAGAATTTGCCACATGGATTAAATGCTGCTAATGGTTAGTAAGCTCACCAACTAGAAAGCCCAAACTCTCTAATGCTGAAAAATGAACTTATAAAGGACTTGAGATAATGTGAATTAAAAGAAAGGTAAATATTTTCTGTGACATAACTGGCTCTTAAATGTATTTCCTCAGACTGTAGTTTGGCTTGCTGGCAAAGTATGGCTGGTCAAAATTTTGATTATCCCAGAGGTCATATTGTAAACTGGATCACTGAATGATCTGTCATTAAAACTAACCTTGTTTTGGAGCATGATATGTTAAATCTGGAAGTTTTAGGTGATTCCATTTATAGTTAGCCCCAAAAGTTTTACTGATGTAACTAAGGAGACAACTGCAAAGAAAGGGTCACAAAGAGGCTTCAGCTGGATAGCTGGTACCTTGTGAAACTGCACTCTTAGTTGATCCTTCAGTGCGTTCAAAATTTTGCCTTCTTACTCTAGAGAGAAACTGAGACAAAGAAATGACTTCTCTGAAAAGTATTGGCATAGCAAGTGTGATCCTTTAGGTAGCATATTTAAATTGTAATCAAGGTTTATATCTATATGCACTATGACAGTTTTGTACCCATTTCCTACTAATGAACAATTTGTAATTTTGGTATATTCACTTCAAACCATGTGTGTGTTTAAGATCCTTGTGTTTAGCTGTGGGAGCCTCATCTCTGAAAATTTATTTTAAAACCACAGAATTAAAAGTTAGTTGGTGGAGGTATTGTGGAGACTTTATGTTAAACTGTTAATAAATCTGCATTAATTTTATTTCAGCTAATGGGGCTGCAACATTAGTAAACATAGTTTATTTTACATTTCTGTAAGCTTTTATCCTATTGATTACTGTCTGATGTATTTCTCCATGGCTTAAGCATAACTGATTTTTGCTGGAATTTTGTTGACAAGTTGATGTTTATGTGTACTCTGTCATTTAGAGATAAAACACTTGCTGAGTTTATATAAAGATGGTTGAGAGTGTGCCAAGTGAACAAAATAATTAGTATAAATCTTTCCTTACTGCTGAGTGTTGTAGTTACTTAAATTCATACAAGTTACATTGTTACATCTGGCTGGGCTTGCTCTCTGCCTTTTGCATTGCAGGGATGAAACCTTCTTGAATTTAAGAAAGAAAAGCTAAGTCAAAACTGACTGAGTTTTAACCTCCATCTTTCTTACCCCTTCCAGTAACAAAACTTTGATTTTGCCACGCACTAAGAAAGCTCTGTCTTGTTTGCAGGTGTTGTTTTTGAATCTGAGACACAACAGAAAATCTATCTTAAAGCCATGCGTCTTCTCCTCGGAGAGTAAAGGTGTTTCATGATCTGGGCCAGATTTGTAGGATGTGATGAATTCGTGTGAATAGAGATGTAAATCTTGAGGTTTGACTTAACATTCCAGAAATAAACGGTCTGTAAAAACTTGAGCACTGGAGTTTGTGTTGTTGGTAGCTTCAGTTGCATAGGGAATGTCTGGCTGGTTTTGACACAACTTTTATGATGTTTTGTTTTTCTTAAATTTAAGGGTTCTAAAACTGTTAAGTAGTTTAGTATAAGGTATTGACTATAGGATGCATTATAGTTAAAACAGATTTGTAAGGAGGCATGATGTCCTAGTGGCAGTAAAAAAAGTTGTCTGTGTGTTCTTTTATTTTTATTTTCTTTAATCTAGAAGCAGTAAAGAGTCTGATTAGGGTGCTGTGGAGACAGCAGTTCTATAAAGTGTGTTTGGGTGGGGATTTTTGGTGGGGTTTTTTTCTGTTAAATGCTTGCAATCCTTTTAGGATTGAGACTCTGGCATTGCACAGCCATATGGGGCACAGCTGATTAATATCTCCCCTGTTGCTTCATACAGGTTAAGGTGAGGTGGTTTATGTGTGTAAATGGACTATTTTACATTAGGCTGCATTTTGAGGGTTAGGTCAGTATGATGGTACATTATATAACAAAGCATTACATGAAAACATTATGTCAGTGCTCAGTAGTAGTTAAAAACCCCAAATTGGCCTAAGAAAGTAGTATAGAACAAACCAGAAAATGTGTAGAGAAAGGTGAGAAGAATGCTAAAGCCTGTGGAATAACCTCTGGAACAAAAGTAGAACTTGAACAAGACTGAACTGAAGCTGGGAAGGGAGGAAGCTAAAACTGTGAGTTGCTTGAGGCAAGGTAAATAGAGTATGATAGTTCTTGTTTTGGAACAGACTGAATGAGAAGATGCACAAATTATCAGATGATTAAAAACAAACAAGAGGAAGTGGTTCTTCTCACAGCACATAGTTAAGCTATTAAACTCCTTGTTCCAGGGTGTTCTTGATACTAAAAATTCACATGCTCTAATAAAGCACCTGCCCAGTTTCACAAGGAGGGGTGGAGTGGAATCCATAAAGCATTATTAAACATAAAGCCACTGCCCTCTGATGTGAAGAAGTTTCTGCATCTCTTAGATAATGAAACTCGCCTTATCTTTGTTATGCTTGCCGTTGTGCTGTGTTCTTCCCTGTGCATCCTTTAATGGTTACTTACCAGGTAGGAGGCTGTTTGACATGGGCATTTGGTTTAATGTAGCATGCTTTAATCTAGTTTTGTGCTTTCTGGAATAAGGATGAGATGGTATTACATGGGTAATTGGGAGTGGTAGGGGAAGCTTTGTAAGATGAGCAGTATGGGCTGTGTTGGGAAGCAGATACGCCAAACCCAATTTTGATAGTATGGCATCTTCTAGTGAAGCGGAGTGGTTTTTGGAAGAGCATCTGAAGCATAGTGCTTAATAGCAGAATGCAAGGGTACAGTAACACAAAACCCAATGAAGGTTTTTTAAAGCTTGATGATTATCTTTAAAGAGAAACACCCAAACCCCAATGTTTATATGGTAGTTACACTTACCCTGTTCCTTTTCTAAGTTATGAGGCTTCAGAAGTTGATTGATTTCATTCAAATTTTGCAGGGGTGGAGGTCTCAAACTGAATTCCCACGGACTTTGTGGCCGTAGACAGCTGGATAGAGAAGAGGTTATACCATGGCTCCAGCTGAGAGAAGCAGTAAGGTGAGCTTGTTAAACATCAGAGAGTCCTCACAGGACCCCCAACCTTGTAATTGAATCCATATGAAACCAGGTTCATTAGTTTCACTGCCTGTGAAATAACTTGTTTAGCAGGGAGTGTTTTTAATCTAATGCTTACATTTCAACTTGAGAATAACTAATGTAAGGGGCTGTTTGTTTGCCAGCTTCCTTTTCAAAGATATTGTTTTTGAAGTTCAGTTTTGAAACTGTGAAAATATATTCTAAAGAGCTATGTTTTCTGTATTTTGAGTTGGCAATAAGCCATCTAATTTTCATATTTCCAGCTACTTTGCACTCAAAGTGAGAAAATGGTTAGCTTTTTGATAGCTACAGATTTTTATTTGAACCTTGATCTAAGTTTAAGATGCAGGAAAAGTTTTTGGGAGGTTTTGGGGCGGGGGGGGAAGGACAATGGGATATAAGACCTTCAAAACCAGGTTTGATCATGAATGTTTTATAAGTTCCATCTTGTTTGGTTAAATGCCAAATTAACTGGTAAGCAGGAGTTCAGCACAAATGAGCTGAACTTTTGAGTTCTCTCCCCTTCCTTCCCACTTTTCTTCCCCTTCTCCTGACTCATTCCCAGGACTACTGAACATATGCAGTCTACATGCAAACTTTTTAACACCAGTTTTTATAAGTCCAGTCAAAATATTTAACAAGAGATTTTATTTAGCACTAAGAGTACATCTAACCCAAATGTTTCATTTCAGCCTATAGAGCTTTGTTCATTTGTTGTAATTACAGTATTGATTGATAATGCTCAAACTAATTAGAGTAACAAAATTATGTCTTGTATGTTAGTCTGAGCTTTGCTAAACAGGAAGCTGTTAAAGGGAGAAGGTAAAAGCCCAAAGTCATGCCATCAGAACTTCATATTAGAGCTCTTTAATGCTGCAACATGAAGGAATATGCCAAAAATAAGATAAATCAAGCATGTTCCTCTTGTCAATATTCTGTGCTGCCCAGCTGATTTCTAATGTAGCTGGGAAAGTTACACATTTCAGCTTTGCCAATTTTAACAGTCCTTGTAATACTAATTTCTTCAAGTGTTGCTTGCAAGGTTTCTAACTCAAGAACATGAAGGCCACTGAGTTTCAGAGAAATTTTCATTATTGCGCTGTTGAAATTCACTTTCTTCAAGCATACTGATAATGTGATTTCAGAAATCTGTTGGCTACCACAGCATGGCTTATCAAACCCTTTGCAAAAACCCCTGAAGAATTTCACAAGTAATCTGTAATAATGTGCCAATGTAACTTTAAGGGAATTACAGGATAATAATTTTTGCTTATTTTTATACAAATATATAATCTTGTCTCTTTATTTTTAGGTATGCTTGGCAGTGACAATGGACTATTTATTTGCATCAGATACTCTTATATGAAAAGATCACGTATCCAAAGAGCTTAAATATTATTTCATCTTCTGAAACAGAATGGCAGGCTTCAAACGAGGATATGATGGAAAAATTGCAGGATTGTATGACTTGGATAAAACTTTGGGCAGAGGCCATTTTGCTGTGGTCAAACTTGCTCGGCATGTCTTTACAGGTGAAAAAGTAGCAGTAAAAGTAATTGACAAGACCAAACTGGACACTCTAGCCACTGGACATCTTTTTCAAGAAGTTAGATGCATGAAACTAGTGCAGCATCCCAATATAGTACGGCTATATGAAGTGATTGACACCCAGACTAAGCTTTATCTTATCTTAGAGCTAGGTGATGGAGGAGATATGTTTGATTACATCATGAAACATGAAGAAGGTCTGAATGAGGATCTGGCAAAAAAATATTTTGCTCAAATAGTTCATGCTATATCCTACTGCCATAAACTGCACGTAGTTCATAGAGACTTAAAACCAGAGAATGTGGTCTTCTTTGAAAAACAAGGACTTGTGAAATTGACTGATTTTGGCTTCAGCAACAAATTTCAACCTGGAAAGAAGCTCACAACAAGCTGTGGATCTCTTGCATATTCTGCTCCTGAAATTTTACTTGGGGATGAATATGATGCACCAGCAGTGGGTATGTCCTCTTTGAATTCAACCAGTAATCTAAACCTAAGTACCATGATGTTGTACTGCTCTGTTTCTGTTTTGAGGTAATGCCATATGTGGAAGCCAGCTAGTTGGCAAGAAATAATATTATAACCTGGATGAGTTATACATGAGTTAATGCTGGAGCAGCTCTGTTTGCAAGAGATACTCGGACATACTCAAAAATGCTTAAAAATTATTTTTGTATGAAATTATGCCATTGTATACATCATAATTAACCTTTCTATTAATAATAATGTGAATGCAATGTGTGTATTGTACTTGTTTTGTTAGAGGACTCAACTTCTTTTCAGAAAAGTGCCTGGTTTTAATTTATTTTTTATATCATACCCCCTGCCCGCAAAAAAACCCCAACCACTCAGTGATTTTCTTTGCTCAGTTTAGCCATATAAGAATGATGTTGTGAGCACAGGCTACTTAAGTGTTCAGTTGCCAGGTGGTAGGAATCCGTTTTTAATAAGTACGAACTTGGCTATAGAAGGAGGAGACAGGGAATTAAGGAAGGTTTTAACTCCCTCTTCCCATTGTCTCAGCTTTTCTTGACTGTGAACTGAAAGTAGGGGGTGAGTTCCCAGTTGCTTCCAATTCTTGAAAAGGTAAGAGAAATGGTAATGTGTAAATTAGTCTTCGTGTTTCTAGCTGGAAAGTGGAGTGTGCTAGACAGACTATGACAGATAATTCTCTTACTCTTATGTCTACTGCGTATGCTGTTAGAATTAACTTAGAGGGTTTTTTAAATAGCTGTAAACATTGATAGTCACTGAATAATGTCCTGTAGTCATACAGATTGCTTGTATCTGTTGGTTCAGGTAGAACTTGCTTCTCCAACAAATTTAGGTACATATAATTCCAAATGATCCTTCAAAACCAGGTTATTGTAGTTAACATGCCTCTTGTTCTTCCGTGCCCAGTATCTGATACTTTTGCTGTCTTAAGACCTGTTAGGACGCTGTACATGGTGCTCTGTGTGTTTTGCTATGGTTATAGTAGTGGCTGTAGTGATGGTTTAAATTAAGACTGACTTATGCAATTTTTTTGCTAATTTACTGGGGTAATCAATCAGCTAATTTTGTATGCTGACAAGGTATTCCTGCACACTACTGAACAAAAATTCTTGCATTGTATTTAATGTAAATATTTTTAGCTAGTAGATCTTACGGTCTTTGCTTAAACATTTGAATATCACTTCATGACTTCTAACTTTGAATAGGTATTTACTGTGGGTTTTCTGGACCTGAAACTACTTTCTCAAGTGTGCTATAATTAGGAATTTTAGATGTCTGTGCTATTTGTGGTTTTGCAAATCCATGTTGATGCCACAGTGATGCTTGATGAAATGATTTCTATTTAAGAGTCAAATCACAGAATGGATTGGGTTGGAAGGGACCTCAAAGATCATCTAGTTCCAACCCCCCCTGCCACAGGCAGGGACACCCTCCACTAGACCAGTTGGCCCAAAGCCCCATCCAACCTGGCCTTAAACACTTCCAGGGACGGGGCCTCCACAACCTCTCTGGGCAACCTGTTCCAGTGCCTCACCACTCTAATAGTAAAGAATTTCTTTCTAACATCTAATCTAAATCGACCCTCCTTCAGCTTCAACCCATTACCCCTTGTCCTGTCACTACACTCCCTGATAAACAGTCCCTCACCATCTTTCCTGTAGGCCCCCTTCAGGTACTGGAAAGATACTGGAAATGTTTTAGGTGAGTTGCTTCTGGTTTTATTAGTGGCAAGCTAGAGATCCAAACTGTTGAGTTCTTCTGTGTTCTTCTATGTCTTTTCATTTTGAGAATTTCCTGAAGAATGAGTGTAACTGATTGCAGTGGCCTCTGAAATTAGATGGAAAAGTGCATTTGTTAAATATTCTGTGCAGTGCCTTATTTGAATTTTTTCTTGAAAAATGGACTAACAGTCAAATTTTGGAGGATGAGCAAAAACTGAAATTTTGATATTGCTGCTCAACTGAAGATGCTTGGAAGAAAGGTGTACGGGGATTAATACGGGGCACGAGGGGGCATTAAGAGCATTATGACCAGATGGTCCAAATTGAATTATATAGTTAAAGCACACTTTAAACCTCCTAATGATAAATATAAGAATGGTGGCATCACATAAATAGTTTTTTAGAGGATTTTGAAAGCAATTAGGTTGGTAAACTTATGACTAGTACTAGAAGAAAATGGTTGAATGGATTCCCAGAGGAGGTGGTCTGGCTAATATAGAGTAGATTGATATGAACAGTAGAAAAACTAGAAAAAATTAATTTCTTCTAGCTGATGTTTAAGAATGCTAGTAAAGTTATATTTCTGATAATATTTAAATACACATCAGTAGTTAGTTTCTGCTTACTTATTCCTCAGTATACTGTCTCGGTTACTGGATGCTAGAACTTCTCCTATCCTAGCTGACAGATTGCAGTGTTTGTATTTTAACTCTTTTAGTGGCACAGTTTTCATTACTTTGTAATGCACTACAAAATCTCTAAAGTACTGTCAGTACAATAGTTACAGAATGAAAATATCAAAATTTACTGCAAGTTGCCAATAAGATAATGACCTTGCGGAGTCTGGGTTTTCCTTTTCTGAGGGTAAAAAAGGTAAGATACCCTATGTAAGGTTTCTAAATGTGACTTATTTGTGTATTTTAAATGCAAAGATTGTGGGGAAAAAAATTAGAGACTTCTTTAAAGCCTTCCTTCCCCCAAATGGAGTCTTAAGTGTAGAATCTTAAAAGAGTATATGTTTAGGAAAGTTATCACTAACCATGTAATTATGCAGCTGAGAAACCAGCTCCTGCAAACCTTTCTTAACCTTTAAAGATAAACTTTCATGCTAAGATGAGGTCATACTTGTGGACTAGAAGTATGTATAAATTCAGAAGCAGACATTTTCAAAAGAGAGATTACATCAGTTGCTTTTTGATGCTAGTAAAGTGCAAGATGTATATATAGCCTGAAATGGTGAAACACTGTGAACTCATTCAGCTATTGGTTGAATTGGACTATTAATATAGCAATAATAATGACTGACAATGGGAAAGATATTTTGCCAGTTAAGGTGAAATTATGTTGTAGCTGAACCAATCTAAAAGCTAGTTCCTTATGAGAAAGGAGGTCATGCTTTCTCCAGTGTGACTACATGGTCCTGCCCCTTTGTGAGCATCTGACCACTTGAAAACCAACTCAAATTACTAAAATGCCAAATTAAAAAGGATTGCCCTGCTTTTACTCTGTGCATGTTAAAGTACATTTGCATTCATTATAATATTTTAAAAACCCCACACCTCTCTTCATTTATCCAGAATTGTTAGATTCACAAAAATTATTGCAAGAAAAGTTTACATGAAGGGTTTTTTTTGCCAAAGACCTTTCCCACAAACATGGCTTATCTGATGTCTCATGAATAATATTAGAATGAGTTTATAAAGGAAAAGACTTCAGATTTTCTTGCCACAAAGAGCTGAAATATTCAGGGCAAATCCTTTATGAAATTATATGCTTAATAGATATAATGGCAAAGCTTGCTTTATGGAAAGGTAACTGTTTCGGCTAGTTTAGGGATTAATCTGCCATTAGTGATGCTACTTAAAAGTTTTCACACTTGAAAAGAGACTAGTTAATTTAGGTCTCTTATTTCCTTTTGTGTTTAAGGCTATAGTTAAAATGATGCAAGAGGAGTATTAGGCAATGATCATATGTTCCCAGGGCTTTTCAAAAAGCTGAGTTAGATAGTGAGAAGTTCTGATGCTTGTAGTTTCCCATGGTTTTTTACACTTAATTAAAATTTGTTCTATTCAGAGGAAAGTGAGAGCACTGTTGTCGCACAAAGAGTTCACTTTGTAAATCAAATGGACGTATTTTAGATCAGAGTTCTGTCTAGAGCAGTGGTGTAAATCCAGCAAACTTCAGTAGTATTCAAAAGTGGGTAACTACAGATGAAAGAATAAAGCATGCTCCTGGTGATATTTTTCCTTTGTTAGTCTACGAACATCAGCAGAGATTGGATCATTAAATAAATAGAAATCACCTCTTTCCTAGGTGATAAAGTTTAATTATAGTTTTTCAGATTAGTTGATTCTTTCAGAGGAGAGCAAGTTCTATTTTAACTGCTTGGCATCTCTATAAAGTAGGAAGTGCTGTGTAGGCTACAGTTATTCTGGAAGACATTGACACTTCTGATAGGTTTTTATTATTGTAGTTGGGTATTCTGTATGTGATTTTGTAGATGCATAGAAACATTTGCAGAATAAATTCGTTGTTCTGGGAATGAGAAATGGGCAAATTCAGATTGTAAGGTTGGGATTGTCTTTTAGCACAGTTGAGCACAGGCCTCTGGAACAGTACTGTAATGCACAAATAACATTGTAGGTATCATCACAATTATTTGGCATTGTAGTCTGTCGTCACAGCAGCTCCAAGAGAATGGTGGCAAGATGTTCCTCCTAAGACATGACTAAAAAGAATATTATGGTTACTGTAGCTCAATGCTATTCAACTGGCAGTTTGTAGTCCAAATCCAACTTGCTGCCTTCTTGGAAGTTGCAGGAGCCAACCACTTGATAACATTCATTACTTTGCTGGCTTTCTTGCACAACTCAGACCTACATATCTTCTGACAGCATAGTAAGATAATGGCTGTATGTTTTCATTATCTAGTTGTATATTTTTGATAATTAAAGGAAACAGAGGATTTGTCATATGTACCTTTCCCTTTCCTGAGATGATGATACTGCTTTTAGACCCACTATGCCTCTGTTGGAATGATCCCAAATTCTTTTGTTTTCTTTTTGCATCAAGCATTTGTGTTGCCTGCATATAGCATTGCTGAAGTGTGTTTGGTGTTTCAAAGCTTCAGTCATATTTGCCAGGTGCTTGAGGATAGCTAAGTAGTCCTGATGACCCGATCTGACCTGTGCGGAGCTAGTTTTAATGCTTCTGCATGTGTATAGCACTTTATTCACAAACTG